TGACAGTAACTTGCATTGGGTTATTATTTCCATTTTATTATTATTATTCTTTCCATTTTGCTGTGGAGAATTTGGAATTGGAAAGTTTTCCTGTGCAAAGGAGAGTATTTTATTTCTTATTTATTTGCTTTGCCTTGGATAGAATAGTAGAATCCATAGATAACTTTGCAGCGGAAATGTTTTGATGCGCAGCCTTAGGCAAGGATTGAATTTAGCAGGTCTGGTTTGCTTGTGTTTAGTAAACAAAGCTAAATGTGTTGAAACTGACATGCTTGTCTAATATTATATTTGCAATTGCTCCTAACTGAGCTTAGAAATTGGAATTTTAATGTAAACAGTGTAGAAGTTTCGATGACCAAGCGGTATATAAATCCGGCTAAATAAATAAACACATAAATGTTCTGTTTAGGGAACTTTTCCACTTCACATCCCTTGATGAAAGGACTTGTGAGCTTGGATCACAAATTCCTGTGCTGGACACATGCTCAGAGGCACCTTTATTCCTTACGTTTTAGGCTATATAGGGTTGCCCTATGTCTTCCTTTTCTGGGACGCAGCCTTTTTTTCATGGGCGTGTAAAATTAAGAGTCATCATAGCGATCCATAGTTAAAAGTAGAAGTTGACAAATGTGTCCTCTTTTTTGCTCTTCAAAATATGGCAGCAGTTTATTATTATTTTCTACCTGGTCGCTAGCCCTCAAGATTTTAGCAAAGAACAAATCAGAGTCTGCAAGCCTGTAGCCTGCCCACAACCTCTGTCCTGGAAGAGTTACCGTATTTTGCTAGCTATAAAAGGACTAAATTGATGGTCTCTGGGAAGGCAGTTTGACGGGGTGACCTGGGCCCCCTGAATCTGCTGCCCTTCCCCCATTTAATTTTTTTTAAAGCTTTAAAAAAATCTTTGTTTAAAGGGCAGCAGGAGTTTTCTTAGTTTTCCAGAACAAATTAAAGTCAGGGCCCACAATTCCTGTTGGCACTTCACAGTAAGCCATTGCAGCAAGAGACAGAATTTGGGATGTCCCCACTCTCTTCGAAAGTTGGCCTAAATTTGCATCTCTCTCTCTCTGTCTCTGTATATATATATAGTCACATATACATATGTATGCATACAATGAACATGTGCTACCTTTTCTAAGAATTTATTTTCAGACTGGCATCTGTGGTGGCTCTGCAGTTGGCAAGGTTGGACAGGGGCCATGAAACCCCAGACCCATTGCTAACTTTGATTGCCGTGCTGCGTGGGATATGTCCCAAATGGCTCCTGATACCCCGTAATTTCTTTTTGAGTTGCTTTCCTGCAGTGTGGCATCTTCCATTTTGCCTCTCTGGCTATGAACACATCTCTTGTTTTTTCCCAGTCAGCTTCATCCCCTACTACTCTCCTTTGACGCACCCCCCCAAACCTGTCTTTCTCAGCCTGGTTACCCCCCCCCGATACTTTGGGGGCTGATGGGAGTTGTAGTCAAAGCATCTGAAGAACACAGGACTCATCTAGATGCTTTCAACCTCTGTTTTAAACATGGATTGGAACAGTAGAGGCAGCATTTTTGCGTTAAAGGGGTGTCGTCGAAAATTGTACTGTTGAGCAGGGACAAAAATAGACCTTGTTGGCATGGTTGCATTTTTTCGGAGGGGTGGGCAACCCTATTATTTTAAGCATTTTGTAAGCTCTCCACACATTTACAGCGTTTGGCCCCCAAGACTAGTAGCATCCTTCAGCCATGGTTAACTTATTTTATTTTAAAAGTTTGAGTCTGCCTAGCAACAGGCTTCCATGGTAGATGATGACATAGGCATGCAACAGGGATCTCCAGGCCAGCTTCGGAAGCGTGTCTGTGTGGTACTAGATTGTCATGTTCACACATTGCAGTATAATTGTATCCCACTTTAGAGAAAGGTGTGTTTTGTTTTTTCCCCGACATACCGTTGTCCCGCAAGGGTGGGATGTGGCGATTGGGTGCATAATTCAGCTCCTGGAAGCACTTGTTTTATTTATTTGGAAGGGAGTCAAATGCTGGGAAATTGGGGTTGTGTTTGCTATTTACAAAGTCCTGAACAACTTGGGTCCAGGGCACCTAGGGATCGCCTGAACCCTTATATCCCAACTTGATCACTTCAATCATCTGCAGGAGGATCCTAGGTCATTCCCTGGGTTCATTGGGCACATTTGACAGTGCCACAAAACTGAGCCTTTAGTGTCATCTGCCTAGGCCTGTGGAACGACAAGATTTAGCGTGTGTCGTCTGTTTTAACCTTTCAACGTTTGCTGAAAACTGTTTGGTGCAGCCAGGCTTATGCGAGCAATTTAAGAAAACATCTTTCTGTAATAGTTAGCCGATATCTCACATTTTAAACTTGTATGTGGTTTCTGTTGCGTATCTTCATGGCTGTTATAAGAATACAGAGGTGAAGTATATGGGATTTCAGTCTGCGTTTGCTGACTTGGAACTTACTAGGAGGGTTAGGGAACCAAGGAGCCATTAGCCAGTATTCCCACCCCATTCCTGAGGACCCCCACAACTCCTGACCTCACTTTCCTCTCCTAAGTTACCCCCTCCCCGAGCACGATTAGCACAATTTGGAAATGGCGGGGCTTAATTAGAGAATCATCCAACTAAAGCATTTTAAAAAGGTTTAATTCCAGGCAATACACTTGTTAAATAAGAATGCTGCTTCTTATCAAATTTCAGTGCAGGTGACATTTTTGGGGTGGGGGGAGAGCACCTTCCCCCATTTGAACCCACTCAGCGGCTTCGATTGGTGGAACTGGCACTGTTACAAGTGCTGCATAACATCTATTCTGCATTTGCAATAACTCGGTCTTTTAGTGTGGCAGCACCTGCACTTTGGAACTCCCTGCCTGTTGAGATCAAGCAGGCAGCTACTAAAAACATTTGTGTTTAGACAAGCCTGTCTAGATGCTGTATAAAGTTCGTGTGAGTTTTAATTGGTTGTTTAGTCTATTGTTTAACTCTTTAAAAGTTTTCAATTATTGTTGTTCAATTGTTTGGAGACAATTTTATTGTTTTATATTTTTAAGCCGCTTTGAGGTTTGTGGATTATTATTTTTACTATCAAGCTGTGTATATATAAATAGTAAAGAACAATATTTATTGAAGGAACTGCAAGATAATTACATATAGCCAGCTATTTTCTTACATTGATATCCAACCTTTCTTCCCTCATGAAATCCCTGGCGGTTCCCAGGTGGGGCACTCACCCAGCCATTAGCCTTAGCAAAGTGGTGGCCTTGTGGGCCTTCAAACAGACCCTGGGACAAAAACAATTAAATAATACATTTTTTAAGCTGCCATCCATTGTAGAAGCAAAGACCAACTCTTTTGTCTGTACTTATCAATTCACTATTGTGGGAGTAATTCACAGTCCAGAAGAGTCTCAAAAATTTGAATAAATAGGCAAGTGCGTCCTTAATTATTAACCCTGCTGATTTAAAATTGTTCTCCCCCATTAAAATGAATTGTTTCCCACCATTTACCGGTATTTAACTGGCAGGGCAAGCCTGTACATGTCTACTCAAAAGTAAGCCCCATTGAGACCGGTGGGACTTACACCCAGGTAAGTGTGAATAGGAATGCAGCCTAAAGCTTCTGTTGATTCAACTTTAGATGTCTGCCCTTCCTTGCCATTTTTTTTAATCTGACTCTGGGAACCACCTGGACCACAGACAGTCTCCAGACCATAGTTTTGTCCTCCCACATAATGTGGGTTTATAAATAGCTTAAAAACAATCCTCTGCTAAGGATGCTTTAGCTGAGATTCCCGCATTGCAGGGGGTTGGACTAGATGACCCCTGGGTCCCTTCCAAACCTAAGATTCTATTATTCTGTCATATAATAAGCGGCAAAGCAATTTCTCCTAGCCTGTGCTGCTTCATAACACTATATTTTCCCTACAGTAAAGGGGTTAATTGTTTGGTACTGCCTCCCTTTTTTTGTTAATATAATAAAAAATTGATGGTTACCCTAAAAGGCCACCCAGGACAAAGGCTGATTAAAACGAATTTGGGGTGAGGTGGGGGAATTGACTGCAGGTTCAAGGCGTTGGAGGTTGAAATGGCCCCAGCCTTTTTGACACCGACTAGAATTATGTTGAAACAATTAGGTAAAGAGACCTTAACCATTAAATCATCAGTTTCTCACCTTTACATCCCACCTTTCTTCCATCATGGGCTGAAAGGGAGGACCTGGTCATCCATTTAGCCACTGACCTGACCCAGGCAAAGTGGTCAGAAAGAAGTGTGTCTTCAGACCATACCGTAGCAGTTTTTGATCTGAAGGGGAAGGTGTATGAGGAAGGGATTAGGGGTCTGTGAATGGGACCAAGACTAAGGTCATTATGGACCCCAAATACCACCCCTGTCTAGTTGTGCTCCATAAACAATCATGCTGAATACAATGTCGTTATCTTCCTATATGCATAAAAGTGTAAGGCTGTGGTCATGCAGCCACCACTTGCAGATTTGTAGTGCTGCATCACAATCCGGGATTTCCACACCAAAAAAATGGGATTGGGAAAGTGAAAAGCGAGCTTAGTAGCTACATAGGGTTGGAAAGGGAAGCTGGGGAGGGGTTAATGTGAGGGGAATAGGAGCAGGGGCTTGGCGCGTGTGTGTGTGTGTGTGTGTGTGTGTGTGTGTGTGTGTTTATTATGTGAACCGGGAGTCATGGTTAAATTAATCTCTGTTTTTTTTTAATTGTGACTAAACTGGAGAGTATTTGACCCCCAAATCAAGTTAGTGAAGTGATGAAAGTGTTAAGAATGACTTAATCCTTTCTTATTTTATTACTCCTCCTCTGTGATTGGATCATCGCCCTCTTTGGCTCTCGCCTGAGGCTAGGGCTGAGTTGCCTTGCCATTTGGGGAGCCGGGAGTGGGAATGTGCTTTTCCTTCCCAGAGGTGTGAGGATGTCTTTTGCCACCACGGCCAGTCCTAACCCACCATAACCACCTCTCTCCCTCTTCTTTTGCTTTCCCCGCAGGATGGCGGAGCCGCGCTTTAACAACCCCTACTTCTGGCCACCCCCTCCCACGATGCCCAGCCAGGTAAGGACCTGTTCTCCAAACATGCAAGGTCTTCTAAAGTTTCTAGTCCACACATACCCCCAAATCTTCAGAGGAGCACGCTGTGTCAGACCCCTCGGTTGGTCTAGCTCAGTTGTCTGGGAAGAAGAAACAGATTTATTGGTTTCTATTTTTTCATTTTTCAAGTCTTCAGTTCACATCATTCATGCATCCATCTGAAAATTTATTTTTAAGAAGTCTTCCTGAAAATCCACCAGCATTTTAATGCGAATTGCTCGTTTTTGCAAGCAGTTTTCTCCAATATAATGATTTTTTGTGTGTTCTGTTCACTAATATATACAATTTTTGTACATGTTTTTTGTTGGAGAACAAAATTTGGAGGAATGGGAATTTCAAAGAAGTCCCTGCATTACAGCCCACATGTTGTTTCAAGAAGTGAAAATTGGGTACACGGGTTCTCTTTCTTTCTCTTTTATTTACGTCTCACCATGTTTAGTGCACATATAATTATGTACTTTTTGAACTTTCAGTAAAGATGTTTAAAAAAGAAGAAGTACAAATTAGGTAGATCTGCATTAAAACCCAAACTGAATTTCTTCCTCATCCCTATTGTCTACGCTTACTCCTTGTGGTTCGAGATGCCGAGATTGAATTTGAGACCTTTTGCATGCAAAGCCGGTGCTCTAACCACTGAGCTGCAGCCCTTCTCCTTACTTGCCCTAACCTGCTTGCCCACACCTTTGTCCACAAGAAAAGCGCACACTCCTCCCTCTGCTGGTCGATAACCTTCTTGTTCTTCTTCCCCCTTCAGCTGGACAATCTAGTTCTCATCAACAAGATCAAGGAGCAGCTCATGGCAGAGAAGATCCGGCCCCCACACCTGCCCCCGACTTCCGTGTCTTCCCAGCAGCCTCTGCTGGTGCCCCCCTCACCTGCCGAGGGGAGCCAGTCCATCATGTCTATCCCCAAGCTGCAGCAGGTCCCCGGGTTGCACCCTCAGGCGGTCCCCCAGCCCGACGTGGCCCTGCACGCTCGCCCAGCCACCAGCACCGTCACAGGTAAGCCGGGGGCAAGGGGGCACCGGGAAGCTATGTCCAGGCCTCTTTGTGCACATGCAATGAATTTTCTGCAAGCCCAGAACAAGTGTGTGCTTTTTGAGCAGCTTGTGATATTATGTGTACACACACACACACGGCACAACCGCATCTTATTCTCATTTAACTTGCGCAATTTCAACCATACGTGGTTGAAGGCCAGCTGGTTGAAATCCTGCAAGTTGAATGCAAGCAAGGCAGAGAGCTTCAAAGGCAGAGGGCCTTCTCGGTAGTGGCGCCCGCCCTGTGGAACGCCCTCCCATCAGTTGTCAAGGAAATAAAAACTATCTGGTTTTTAAAAGACATCTGAAGGCAGCCCTGTTCAGGGAGGTTTTTAATGTTTGATGTTTTATCATGTTTTTCATATTCTGTTAGGAGTCGCCCAGAGTGGCTGTGGAAACCCAGCCAGATGGGTGGAGTATAATTATTATTATTATTATTATTATTATTATTATTATTAGCTTTAAGCTGGAATCAGGAAGACCAAAATTTTAATCAGGAATGGGAAATATATATAATTTACCTTAAAAATCACTGTAAACAATTAAAATAATTAGTAGGATTGGAATGACACTTGTTAAACGTTGGACTGTGGTTGTAATGGAGATTTAATAGAACTGGATTAACAGAGAAGATGCAGGAGGAAAAAAAGTTAATATAAGGACCCACAAAGCGGGGGGGGGGAGGGGAGTCCATGGGAATTTATGTTTGTTGATTTGCTTCTGTGGCGATCACACAGGGTCCCCGGACGTTTAACGGTCTATTGATCCCTGTGCCACCACTGTGCTCGCTTCCCTGCTGCCACCAACCAGTTACTCTCTGGTGAAACACTGAGTCCAGACAGTTGTTAAAAGTGAACCAAAAAGAAACAAGTTTATTTTAGAGACATTAACAAGTTTATGGTTTCTCCGATAATATTCTTGTCACTATCTTAACTTTAGTTTCTTTACCGGCCTATACCTTCCTAATACCTTCTGACTGATTATCTCAACTGTTTGACTGACTCCTCTTAACAAATTCTCTCCCTCTCACACCAGACTAGCCCAACCCACAGACTTCTCTTATCTGTCTCTTCTAACTCCAGACTGTCTTCTCCACCCTAACTCTAACCCCCCCCCCAAAAAAAACCTCTGTGCTTAAACCTTATACCCAGTTATCTCTGCCCCCTGGGTTCCCATTGGTTAGTCATTTTATAATTAGTTAACCCTTTCCCTATGAACCCAGTATGGTGTCACACACCTAGGAGGGCAAACGCCACAGCTTCCTTGATGATTGTTTGTAAATTTGAAAATTGTGTATGTGTGTGTGTGTATTCTTCATTCTAAAAAAAAAAAAAGAGCTTTAAGCTGGGGGCACTGGTTCTGGGAGTGCTGGATGTTCTCTTTCTCTCCCTCCCTGCCACCTGGTAGCCATGGGGGGCTGCTCCAATGGTTTGGGTAAGATGCGATCATCATGCTGTATTCAGAAGCTCAAGCTTGTGCCTTACCGGTGAGAGGAGACGGCTCTCTCCTAAGACCAGAATATGTGAACATCCGGTGAATCTGAATGTTGGAAGATTCAGGACAGAGAAAAGAAAGGACTTTTTCCACACAGGGCGTAGTTGAACTGCGGAACTCCCTCCCACAGGAGGGAGCGATGGCCACTAACCTGGACGGTTTCAAAAGAGACAAATCCATGGAGGAGAGGGCCATGGGTGGCTGCCAGTCACAATTGCTACGCTCTGCCTCCACATGCTGGCAAATGCTTATGAACCACTGCTGCTCTGAGCTGCTGCCAAAGACACCCCCCCCCCAGCCTTCCTGGCATGTTCTTGGGCTTCTCTTAAGCTGTCCTCTCCCTCCACCCCTGGCTTCTGTCTTCCAGGTTTGGGTCTGGGGTCCCGCGCCACGGCCGTCAGCACCTCGGAATCCAGCGCCGGGACGGGCACCAGCACCCCCTCCACCCCCACCTCCACCACGCAGAGCCGTCTCATTGCCTCTTCGCCCACCCTCATCTCAGGGATCACCAGCCCCCCGCTCTTGGACTCCATCAAGACCATTCAAGGTCACAGCCTGCTGGGGGGGGCGCCCAAGGCGGAGCGCGGCCGCAAGAAGATCAAGGCGGAGAACCCCACGGGGCCCCCCGTCCTGGTGGTGCCCTACCCCATCTTGGCTTCGGGCGACATCGGCAAAGAGGGGAAGACGTACAGGTGTGTGGGAGGGAAGGGGTTAACACTCTGCCGCCAGCGTGGGTGGGGGAGTGGGGTGGGGAGACCTCCGGCCCCTTAGCATGGCGGGGAGCTGGACTAGATTGCTCTTGGAGGTCCCTTTCAACTCTATGATTCTGTGTACAGAAATCGGGTCAATGATATCCTCAAAATGGATAAAAAGATGGGTTTTCAGTTATGAAATCTCAAGGTTTCAATACGATCTGTTAGCAAACAATATAAAATTACTGTCAAAAATGTATAGATTGATGTTGGAATGGCATACAAAGGATGAACACGTGAAGACTGGAAAGCTCAGGAACCAAGAAGACCAAAACTTTAATAATGGGGGAAATGTATGATTTATCTTGGAGACCACTGTAAACAGATGAAAACATTAGCAGGATTGCAATAACACTTGTAATGTAGCGGGTATTGTGGAGATGATGAAGTTATTTTAAAAAATGGAGTGCAGAAAAAGATGCAGTGGGAAAGTTTTAATAACAGAACCCCTGGAGGGGAAGGGAAGGTGGGAAGTCAGAGATTCAGAGGAATCTCTAAATTGTGGATATGTGTTAGGTTATTTTTTACAATTTTATACTTGTGAAATCAAATAAAAATTATGTCAGGAATAGGGTCACTGTTCTTGGACTGTGCCAGTTTAAACTCGAGATAGGAGAATGGGTACAGCTCAGCGGCGGAGCACAAGGCCCCGGGTTCAATCCGCAATGGCATCTCCAGGGAGGGCTGGGAATGTCCTTTCAGTCAGAGTCGATAAAACTGAGCTCTATGGACCCATCAGTGAGCAGGAGGAGACACTCCCACCAATGGGCTTTTGATGGGGGGGTGGGGCCAGCCACTTTTCAGTCATGTGATGCAGTAACATGCTGCATCATTGACAGATGGGCGGCTGACCTCTCAAATTTGACCAATCCTGACGATAGTCTGACCCATGGAGCCGGAAATAGCTTCCCACCCATGGTGCGGAGAGGAAATGCCCCAGAGAAGCCCAAAAGCTATACACAAAAGCTGCAACTTGTTGGATGTGCTTGCTAGGGAGCTGCTGCCAGTCAGAGTAGGCTACAGTGAAGTAATGAGCCAAGACTTCCCTGCTCAGACAGACCTTTAGAAACCAAGGAGCAGGTGATGCTGGCCACTAGGCTGCTGTGTCAGGGCAGCTTACATTTTTATTGCTGGTTCTAAATGTGTTTTGGCGTATTTTAATGGATGTGTTTTAACTGGGTTTTAAAAAAATACTTTCTATTTTATAATGATGTTTTCTGACGCTAGAATCCCAACTTGGGAGAAGATATATATATCTATATCTATCGATAATGATATATATACAGTGGTACCACGGGTTACATTCGCTTCAGGTTACATATGCTCCAGGTTACAGACTCCGCTAATCCAGAAATAGTGCTTCAGGTTAAGAACTTTGCTTCAGGATAAGAACAGAAATCGTGCTTCGGCAGTGCGGCGGCAGCAGTGGGAAGCCCCATTAGCTAAAGTGGTGCTTCAGGTTAAGAACAGTTTCAGGTTAAGAACGGACCTCTAGAACGAATTAAGTACTTAACCCGAGGTACCAGTGTGTGTGTGTGTGTGTGTGTGTGTGTGTGTGTGTGTATATATATATATATATGCAGGTTTTGGTGTCCTCGGGTGTCTTCCCGTGTAAAAGTTGGGGTGTCTAGGCGACGTTTCGACGAGGTCTCACTCGTCATCTTCAGGCTGGTGCTTTCGGCTTCTTGTTACTGGAACAGAGCAGGCTCTCAGTGTTTGGGTTCCTATAAATACTGTTGAGGAGGTGTGGTGTATAGCCTCCAATGTTCTGGGCAGAGAGGAAGTTCCCAGGCTAGTGTGCCTCTTTTTCTTTTGTTCCTTAATTACTTGAGGGATATCTTGAGTGATTTCTTGAGTGATATCCTGAGTACCACTTAGGTGGGTCATTAGGTGTGGATTAGTTGCTAAAGCCTTCGTGTCTTGACCTCTTGAACTTTGTGAAGAGTTTTTCTGAGAAGATGGCTGTACTGCACTTAGTTGTGCTCTGGCTTGGCTTCGTGTATAGGGGCGAGCTGTGGTTTTGTGGCCTGTGCCAGCCAGATCTGTGTAGGGATTGCAGGGGGGTGCAGCATCCGGAGGTGCCACCATGGTTTGGCTACTGGATGGTGTCTGTAATTTATCTGTGGAGAGGGTCTGGGTTTGGGTCTGGTGTGGTTGATTGGTGATGGCGTTCTGTGTGCCTCTGGATCTGGTGTCGGTTTTTGTGGGGAGGGCTAATTTCCAGATGTCTGGCAGGCGGGATGTGTCGTCACGCTTGTTCATGTTGTGAGGGTGTTTCTCTATCTCGATGGCTTCCATGATTATTCTCTTGTGGTGATGTTCCATGTTAAAGAGCAATTTGGAGTCTGCAAAATTAATTTCGTGTCCTGTTTCTTTCATGTGTTGGAAAAGAGAGGAAGTTTTTTCTTCTTTTTTGACGGCATTCTTGTGTTCTGCGATACGTGCATTTATTCGTCTGTTTGTTTGTCCAATGTACGTGGCTGGGCAGACAAACAAACAGACGAATAAATGCACATTGGACAAACAAACAGACGAATAAATGCACGTATCGCAGAACACAAGAATGCCGTCAAAAAAGAAGAAAAAACTTCCTCTCTTTTCCAACACATGAAAGAAACAGGACACGAAATTAATTTTGCAGACTCCAAATTGCTCTTTAACATGGAACATCACCACAAGAGAATAATCATGGAAGCCATCGAGATAGAGAAACACCCTCACAACATGAACAAGCGTGACGACACATCCCGCCTGCCAGACATCTGGAAATTAGCCCTCCCCACAAAAACCGACACCAGATCCAGAGGCACACAGAACGCCATCACCAATCAACCACACCAGACCCAAACCCAGACCCTCTCCACAGATAAATTACAGACACCATCCAGTAGCCAAACCATGGTGGCACCTCCGGATGCTGCACCCCCCTGCAATCCCTACACAGATCTGGCTGGCACAGGCCACAAAACCACAGCTCGCCCCTATACACGAAGCCAAGCCAGAGCACAACTAAGTGCAGTACAGCCATCTTCTCAGAAAAACTCTTCACAAAGTTCAAGAGGTCAAGACACGAAGGCTTTAGCAACTAATCCACACCTAATGACCCACCTAAGTGGTACTCAGGATATCACTCAAGAAATCACTCAAGATATCCCTCAAGTAATTAAGGAACAAAAGAAAAAGAGGCACACTAGCCTGGGAACTTCCTCTCTGCCCAGAACATTGGAGGCTATACACCACACCTCCTCAACAGTATTTATAGGAACCCAAACACTGAGAGCCTGCTCTGTTCCAGTAACAAGAAGCCGAAAGCACCAGCCTGAAGATGACGAGTGAGACCTCGTCGAAACGTCGCCTAGACACCCCTACTTTTACACGGGAAGACACCCGAGGACACCAAAACCTGCATTCCTGTACCCGTGAAAATCTACGAAAGCATATATATATATATATATATATATATATGCATGCAGGTTTTGGTGTCCTCGGGTGTCTTCCCGTGTAAAAGTTGGGGTGTCTAGGCGACGTTTCGACGAGGTCTCACTCGTCATCTTCAGGCTGGTGCTTTCGGCTTCTTGTTACTGGAACAGAGCTCTGTTCCAGTAACAAGAAGCCGAAAGCACCAGCCTGAAGATGACGAGTGAGACCTCGTCGAAACGTCGCCTAGACACCCCAACTTTTACACGGGAAGACACCCGAGGACACCAAAACCTGCATTCCTGTACCCGTGAAAATCTACGAAAGCAAATATATATATATATATATATATATATAGGTAAAGGTACCCCTGCCCGTACGGGCCAGTCTTGACAGACTCTAGGGTTGTGCGCTCATCTCACTCTAGAGGCCGGGAGCCAGCGCTGTCCGCAGACACTTCCGGGTCACGTGGCCAGCGTGACGAAGCTACTCTGGCAAAGCCAGAGCCGCACACGGAAACGCCGTTTACCTTCCCGCTAGTAAGCGGTCCCTATTTATCTACTTGCACCCGGGGGTGCTTTCGAACTGCTAGGTTGGCAGGCGCTGGGACCGAGCAACGGGAGCGCACCCCGCCGCAGGGATTCGAACTGCCGACCATGCGATCGGCAAGTCTTAGGCGCTGAGGTTTTACCCACAGCGCCACCCGCGTCCCAATGATATATATATATATAGAGAGAGAGAGAGAGAGAGACACAATATCGTGGAATGGCAGAATTGGAGAGGACACCAAGGGTTATCCTGTCTGAGCCTCTCACTGCAGGACATTAAAGACATCGTTAAGAAATAAATGATGATAGTGACTATGTTTTGATGCAGAATTGTGTCTTTGAAACGCTCCCCCCCCCTTCTTGTCCTTGACCGTCTCCAGGTGTAAAGTCTGCCCCCTCACTTTCTTCACCAAGTCGGAGATGCAGATCCACTCCAAGTCCCACACAGAGGCCAAGCCCCACAAGTGCCCCCACTGCTCCAAGTCCTTCGCCAACGCCTCCTACCTGGCGCAGCATTTGCGCATCCACCTGGGCGTCAAGCCCTATCACTGCTCCTACTGCGAGAAATCCTTCCGCCAACTTTCCCACCTCCAGCAACACACCAGGTAAGGGACCTGCTTATGCTCGCTGGGATCAGTCGACTGGGTTGCCATTTTGGGTGAGCATGGGAAGCAAAGATGGCCACCAGAAACTGGAAATCCTCCTTTTCGTTAACAAGAACAAGGTTAAGTAAAAAAGCAAGCCTTTAGTCCTCATGGCTTGAGTGAGTGTGTGTCAAATGGCACACACACACCCCACTTCTTTGACCAGCAACGTCAGAATAAATTGACGCATAACGGCGCACATTTTCCAAGATTTGTTTCCTACTTGATAGATTAAACCAGCAGTTCTCAAACTTGGTTAGGGTGGGATTTTAACATATACGAAACGGTTTTAAATATGCCTGTAGACATGGAATTGTTTTATGTATCTACTACATATTTTGGAAAGTTGTCTCTTTGCTATGCGTTAGGACAGGACAGGACCCTAGGATCGAGGTTCTGTACATGTTTGGGAACAGTTCGGCGCCATTTTGAATCAAGATGGTGGCCCATACCTTTCAAAACCGTCCTGATTTGCAACCACTAATTTCACCATTTCCTAATGTGAAATTGCTGCGAGATATTTTGCGGGAGGCGGTTTGTGAACTGAGTCAGGTAAGTGAAGCAATGGAGGAGAGGCGGAAAACACCTCAGCGTTCTCTCTTGCTGCCTTTCAGAATTCACACCGGAGACAGACCCTACAAGTGCCCTCACGCCGGATGTGAAAAGGCATTCACACAGCTCTCAAACCTCCAGGTCAGTCGGTTGGGAATTCGGGTAGCATGTGCCAGGGAAGTGAATTGGAAGTCCCAGAGTGGGTCAAAGCATTTGAGGGTTAGAGATAATTGGGGTGCATTTATAGGGTGCCCTGTGTGGCAAGACAGGACTGAGGTTTTCCTATGTTGAATATTTATGTATCTTATGCTGCAAGCACCCAAAAAATTTGTCTTGATGGTCTGCTGATCTAGCCTAGTCCTCTGCTTCCAACAGCAGACAGCCAGATACCTTTGGGGGCTCAAATGCTTGGCTCAGAGAGAGAGGGGGAACCCTCTTGTCTGTCCTGCGGCTTCTGAGGTTCAAAGGTATTATTCCCTCTAAAGACAGAGGTTCCACTTAATTGCTGAAGATAATAGCAAGTGAACATTATTACCTGCTTTGGGACCTTTGGGTGAAAGGCAGGTAATGCTTTATGTATGTATGTAGCACAGAGTAAAATGAAATTGGCATCGACATTTTAAAAGTTGCAGTCATGTCACAAACTCCAGAGGAAAATGACAAAATGCCCAGGGTCAGTTCCTGGTGATTTTTTTGTTCGCTGCAGCACAGAACCCATGTGGTGTAGTGGTTAGAGTGCCGGACTCAGGTTCAAATCCCTCCCCCCACTCAGCCATGAAACTCACTGGGTGTGACCTTGGGGGCCAGCTGGTATCTCTCAGCCTAAGCAACTTCGCAAGGTTGGCATCTTGATCTGAGCTGGGTGAAAGGGTGCAAGTCTCATCTGACTGCCCTGCTGCAGATTTAGCAAGGAGGGCTTGATAAAAGATTTTGCAGAGATCTCAGTGAAAGGAGCAGTGTAGGAGGACTTGGGTCTTCAGAGTTGCAAGGGGGTACCTTGGTTGGTGGCGAGGTGGCTTTTTGTTTAAGGGTCTTCCCCACCCCACCCCCAGGACTTCTGAGGGCTGCCATGTCAATCCCCTGTTCCTTCCCCTTTCCCACCCAGTCTCACCAACGGCAACACAACAAGGACAAGCCCTACAAGTGTCCGAACTGCTACCGGGCCTACTCGGACTCTGCCTCGCTCCAGATCCACCTCTCGGCACACGCAATCAAGCACGCCAAGGCCTACTGCTGCAGCATGTGTGGGCGGGCCTACACTTCAGTGAGTAGCAGGGGCTGTTGGCTGGGAGGAAGCAAGGCAGGTGGGGAGTGCAAGAGAGACACGAGTTCAAATCCCCTCACGCACTGGGCATGAAGTCTACTGGGGGTGGCCTTTGGGGGGGGGAGGTCAGTTGGCCGCTCTAGGCCTAATCCAGTTCACAGAGTTGTTGTGAGGAGGAAAATGCGTCAAGAGTAGCCATCAATAGCTTTATGTCCTCCTTGAATTTGTCCAATCCTCTTTGAAAGCCATCCGAGTTCCATAGTTGTCAGGACAATACTTGAGTCCAGATATTGTGGGGTGGGTGTGGGTGCACAGCTTACTTTAGTTTTCTGCTTGGTGATTGTGGGGTGGAGGTGTTTCTCCCCTAGCTGCCCTGTGGGAAACTGTGGCAGGCCAGGAGATCCCCTCTGTAGATCAGGCCGCTCCCCAATCTCCCCCAAATCATGCTGTGGGAGCAGGTCAGGGTGGAGGTGAAGGGAGGTCCCAGACATGCTGAAATGAAACTACGTCACCGTAGACGGGGGGGGGGGGGCAGCCGCTTCCTGCTTCCCCGAAACTGACCTTCCCTTTCTCCCTCTCCAGGAGACCTATTTGATGAAGCACATGTCAAAACACACAGTGGTTGAACATCTAGTGAGTCAACACTCTCCTCAAAGGACGGAGTCTCCCAGTATCCCTGTCCGAATCTCGCTCATCTGAATCTCGGGGAGCAGCCTCCACCCCCTGGCCTGGCCCCGCTCCCGTGCAGCCACCCCCTCTTGAATCCCAGAAGCGGGGAGCAAAAGACAAGGACACCTTGGCAAACAACCCACGGTCCCTGCTCCGCAGCGTCCCTCCTGCCATGGGGTGATCCTCATCCGCCACCAGTCAGGACAGAGAGAGAGAGACTGGATGGAGCCCTGTTGGCAGCCAGGGAGACTGGGGAGGGGAAAGAGATTTTCCGTTCCAAGTTGGTGGCAGCCAAAGACAATCCCAGAGCACTTTGAAGACGTCCACACCTCTCCCTTCCCTGTAACAGAGCCTCTGCCCCAGCCACAGGCCCCCCCTTCTTTCATTTTGGATCCCCACTTCTCTCCCCTCCAAAATCCCTGTTCCACTTTAATTTCACATAGGAAAATTGTCACCCAACGGGCCAGGAATTTGCAACGCAGATAACGGCGAGCCAGCCCCCTTCTGGACTCTTCTCTGGAGCCGCTACAGGACCTCCTTGGCCAAAAATGGGGCACTGTGAGGTTATTGCTGCGGGGTGGGGGTACAGGCACCCCAGGAGTGGCCTTTGGCTAGGGTGGGCACAGTGGGAGGTGAGGAGTCTCAGATGCTGCAACATCACACGGTCAGGGCACATTGCACCAGTGTTGGTGCAAAGGATTACATCAATGCTCAGAGGCTATGGGATTTGCTGCACCTTCGGCTAGGAGGTGGAAGGGAGTCGGGGGTTGTCCTGGAAACAGATGAGGGGGGTACCTTCGGAATATGGTTAGGAGACACACTGCAGTAGGGGGGGAAATGACAAGAGACTGGCAGTGTTATGCCCATTCAGAAGTACACAAGGCTTTGTCTGCCCATCACCTTAATCTTGAGGCACTGTGTGAAAGTTTGCCCACCTGCAGCGCCATCTTTGTGAATGAGTAGCCTCCAGCCCTGCTCTCTCCTTGTATGGAAAAGGAGGGGAGGGGATGCAGGGGAGGGCTGGGTCTCTTCTGCGGGGAGTAAAGGTGGGCATTGACCTGCTCCTGGGTAATGCTGCCATTCGGCTCACCCACAGTAAGATGTGCCAGTCCATTTCTCCCATCTTTGCAGAGGGCTGTCAGCTGGCAGAAGCGAAGCCCCAAGGGTGTTTTGGGGCAGAAGACAGGTAGGGGGTGGTTCTTGATCCTGGCTGCCCTACCCTTCGAGACCGATCAAGGCACCACCTTGCAACCTCTCCAAGGATGTCTCCAGCCCTGGTTGGCAGGGCTGGAAGAACCTAGGGTTCTCCCGGGGCGTGCACACAGCATTGGTGGGTGGGGGGCACAGGTTCCTCCCTAGCCCCAGAAAAGAAACATAAGCAAGTTGCTCATTCCAATTTCCATTTGAACATGGCCATAGCAGGCACATATTTGCAAAATAGGTGGAATTGTCATCCTTCTCCAGTTGCTGTCGTTTGAGGGGGTTTGATCCCCTTGCACCAAGATCTAGGGGGATTAGAGGTTTTTTTTAAAAAAAAATACCCACACACCAGTATTCCAGAGAATTCTGGGATTCCCAAGGGCTCATTTGCTTGCAAAGCCACATTCCATTGCCTTGAGAGGGTTCAGCTTCCTAGTGACCCCAGAGGACTGAGCACCTCCTAGAATGCCCCCCCCAAAAAACCAAAAACCTCCCCTAAGCAAGTAGTATCTGGAAGCCCCATTGATTGAGTGGAAGGGTCCATGGGGTTCAGAAAATCTGCAAACCACAGAAACACAGAAAGTGTGGTGTGATCCTCTGCGACTCATCTCCTGCAAGGCTGTTTTCCTCCAATTCCTGTCAAATGGGAAAAACGCCTTTTAAAGCTTTATTGCTACACTAGATTTGCTACCCAAGATCCGAAGCAGAGGACAACATTGCAGCTTCCCTTGATGGGGGTGGGGGGAGCCTGTCAAATGGGACTTCTTTTTCACTTGCTATGTTTTGGCCATTTCCAGTTTTCCCAGATGCTACATGTGTCCCCGACTGCTTCAGCTCCAGCTCTCTCTCCACCCCCACTGCCATGAGTCAACCGGTCATCTCTCTGTGGCCACCCCAGTGGCTGAGGAGAGGCCATGGCCTCCTGGGTGCTGTGAAGAAGAACGGCTCAAAGCGCCAACAGGATGGCACCCTCTCTGGCTCTTAAAGTCTTCTGTGGCTCCTTGGATAGCTGTGAAGGGACTGTGGCATGATGCCAACTGCTCTCGCCCCAGGAGCCCATCACCAAAAGAAAAAGTAGCTTTCTGAGGTGGTGGTGCACCTCCCTCAAACCAAGTGTCTCTTGGCAGTTTCTCTCAAAGTGGAAGGAAAAGGGCCCACAAAACTTCCCCAAACAACAAGACTTAAAAACCACCTCTATATTATGTACCCTTCAGTTGCGTTAAAAAATAAAAACGAACTACTTTTTTTTAAGATAAACTTTTTAAGCCTTAAAAATATATAATTTTGTTTTTTATCAGTTGTTTCTTTTACTGTTTGTATTTGATTTGATCTTTTCCTTTTTTAAAAAAACAAAACCTTGTTCCCTTTTCAGTCGGTTTTGAATTGTTGTATGATATTCAATATTGTAGCCTCTCTTTTTTTGATCCGCATGTTAATAACTGTAAATAGGACTCTTATGCATAATGTTAACAACTTTTTTCTATATAAAAAAAAAGAAGCCCAGGCCACATCTAGCTAGATCCTTAGTTATTATCATTACCTTATAACTGAAAAAGGAATTTTTAAAAGAGTTTTTTTAAAGGGTCTCTCCCTCCCACCCCTTCCCTTCAAAGAAAAGTCTTGCATTGTGGAATCCGGGACTGGTGAGAGGAGGCAACTTCTGCCTCGCTGCCAAACATCATTTGCATTGTTTTGAAATGAAATGGGGAAAAGAAGGAAAAATAAATTAAAAATTGCTTTGTATTTCTCTGTTGTGGAAAAAAGATAATAAAAGCGTCTTTGCAACCTTGGGCTGGATTGGAAAGCGTACCAGTCTTCTGACTAAGGGTTTTTTAAATAAAAAATGAGATGAACAGGGGTACTTGGTGAGCATTTGGGACACCAGACATGTAATGTGAAGCACTTCGGTTTTGCTAAAGATTTACAGAAAGCCCACTTAATCCAGCTCCCTGTGGTCAGCTAGATGCGTTCAGGTCCTGCTTGAAGATTTCCCACAGGCAATTCTCCCCATGTGATTCCCAGGAACTGCCTCTGAAGGTAGAAAAAGTAGCCATCCTGCCTGCCAGCCACGGCTGAAACAAGCGTCTTTTAAGAACTTCTCAGCATCCTGAGGTGACAGAAATTACGCTTGAGCAACTGAGGAAAAGCCTTGTGTGTGCCAGAGGTGGTGGCAGATGGAAGGAAAGTCACTCTGGAGAAGTGAGGGGGAATGGGATGCATTTTGCAAACGTCAGAATACCAAGCCGAAAACTTCTGCTCTAGGAAGAACTCATGTCAGCCATGTGCCTGGAAACCATAGTTTCCTGGCTCTGCCATGAAGCTCACGGGTGACATTGAACCACTCGCCCCATCTCAGCCTCTCCTACCTCACAGGGTTGTTTGTGAGGGCAGAAAAACATGTACATAACCTTGAGCTTCTTGCAGAGAGAAAAAGGGATGGAAATGAAAAATATGAAGGGGAAAAAGATTCAGATTGCAGTTTAGGAACCACCTCTCGTCCCAATTGCATTAAAAGCCAATGAGACTCCCCAACGCTGAGGGAGCAGGCACTGGAGGGCAGTTAGACATAACATCCCCCAGTGCTCCTTAAGAGAGACTGCTGCCCCAAAGTGAGGAGGATGCTGTCTTGCCAACACAAGGTGAGTCCAACTGGATCAGGCCAGCATCCCGCTCTCAACAGTGGGCAAACTTGCAAGCAGGATCGTGAACAAGAGCACTCTCCCCATCTGTGGCTTCCAGCAACAGCTATTCAGAAGCACGGCTGCCTCCAACTGCAATTTTCCAATCTTCTCTTGAAGCCATCACCGCTTCCTGTGGCAGTGAGTTCCACCGTTGAACTCCGTGCTGCATGAAGAAGTCCTTTCTTTTCGCCTTGCAAGTTCTCGTCTTGGGAGAGAGCGAGGAAACATATTTCTCTGTGGTTTTGATGTTATGAGTCATCTGGAGAATCCAGCTGAATGTTCTCCGCCCCTGGAAGCTAAAACGTCCCAGGACCTGCCCCCAGCCACCCAGCCCCATAGCAAGGAAGCCTTTTAAATACATGGCATCTTTTTTTTTTAATTCCAAAAGGTGTTTATTAAAAACAGGAGGGGGGGCAACAGTAGAAAGTCCTTTTGCTTGCAGCCCAGAGGCTGTGGACAGTGGCCAGCACAAAGAAGGGGGGCACCACACACAAACCGTCAAAAGGGGCAGGGGGGTGCAGCTCAGCTGCAATCCCACTCCCCGCAGTTCCTGATCACCCGAGGAAAAAGCCCGCCCACTCTCGACAATCCTGAGGCCAGCCCCATCTTCCAGGGAGAGAGCCGGCTCCTCCTGCCCTGCCTTGATATTATGGGAGGGGGAGAATGGGGGGGGGGTTGAGGTGTTTGTGGCAGGGGCCAAAAGGGCCTTTTATTTAAATTTTTAAGGCAGCTGCAGACCTGGTCCCAAATCAGAAAAGAGGCCTCCCCAGTAGTCCTGGACGTCAGCCAGCCAGTTCGCACGACTTGTGCTTGGCTACTTACTCATCCCCTTTTAAAAAAAAATTGTTTTAAAAAAACCAAAGCAAAACAGTGTGAGGGGAGCAATACACCCCCGCGAGACTGGACGGAGATCCCTTCTGCTCCTGCATGATCCCCCACGGGAATCAGGAGATCTCTCAGGGCTAGCTGCTTGCTTCCCCTGCTGTGCCTTGGGAAGAGATATAGCAGAAGAGGAAAGGGTGCAGGGAGGGAGGAGTAAACAGAGAGGGCACTACCCAGCACCACACACGCACGCACGCACGCACACGCCTACAAAAAAATTTAAGGCAATGGTCCTGTTTGGCTTTTGAGGTTTCAAGTAGGTGTGTCCGATCCTTGGGGGGGGGGGTCTCTGGGACACAGGAGAAGCAGCTTCCAGGGTGCCACTAAAAAAACAAGGTTGCACGACTCTCTCCATTGCTGCAGGGGGGAAGCTAATGCTACATATTTATGTACAGCCCCGCAACGGCTTTAGCTTACGGACATCCCACCCGAGTCGGGGTGCCTCCATGCCCCTCCCGTCGTCGAGGGAGGCTGGGGGTGTTGCCTCTGTGCTCGAGTTGCATTGTGAAGAGTGGGAGGCAGAAGAAAGCAGAGTCCATTTTGTTCCCAGCCCCTCCCAGCCTCCGAGGAAGAGGAAGAAAGCATCCGTTTGCCAGCAGGGCCTCCCACCCGCCCCGGCCTGAAGGCCTCTAGGAGTCTTTCAGCATACAGATGCGGGCGTAGATTTTGAGGGCTGGGCCCAGTTTGATGTTCATGGCGCTCATGAGGTGGTCCTCCTTCAGGAGAAGCAGGGCCTGGCCGTCGATCTCTTGCGCCCGGAACTCCTCCGCAATCTCCTGGCAACCTGCGGCAGGGGGAGAGGAAAAGCCCCATCACTGCAAGAAAGTGAGAATACAGGGAACCAGGCAGAGGGCCTTCTCAGCAGTGGCGCCCTCCCTTTGGAATGCCCTCTCGTCGGACGTCAAGCAGATTAAGAATGACACAACATTTAGAGGAGTTCTGAAATACAGTTTTCCATGTTCAATGTTTTATTATGTTTTCAATCATCACCAGAAAATGGTCAGAACTTCTCATAAGAGCTGTTCCAACAGTGGGATAAAGATAAAGGGACCCCTGACCATTAGGTCCAGTCGTGACTGACTCTGGGGTTGCGGCGCTCATCTCGCTTTATTGGCCGAGGGAGCTGGCATACAGCTTCCGGGTCATGTGGCCAGCATGACTAAGCCGCTTCTGGCGAACCAGAGCAGCGCACGGAAATGCCATTTACCTTCCCACTGGAGTGGTACCTATTTATCTACTTGCACTTTGACGTGCTTTCGAACTGCTAGGTTGGTAGGAGCAGGGACTGAGTAATGGGAGCTCAACACATCGCGGGGAATCAAACCGCTGACCTTCTGATCGGCAAGCCCTAGGCTCTGTGGTTTAACCCACAGCGCCACCCTCAAAAGCTGGTGAGCTCTCCTTGGTTGGAGATTTCTAAGCCGAAGTTGGGTGGCCATCTGCCAAGGATGCTTCAGCTGTGGTTCCCACAATGCAGGGAAGTTAGGGCTAAATGACCCCTGGGATATTTCCATAACCAAATCAAATCCATCCATAAACTTAACTCCTCAAAGTAGCAACACCGGAAAATATTGGGCTTCCCACCAGACCAGAGAATTGGGAGAGAGGGGGGCAGGCTCATTTCTGCCCAACTTGGACCGCTCCAAGGTTCCCTTCCTAAGCAGGCAGGCGGAAGGCCCCAATCCTTACCAGGCAAGGACCGAATGAACTCGTAGACGTCCTCCACGTTCCACTTGGTGGGCTCGCTGGGCAGGAAGTGGTGCCCAATGCCCACCAGGTCTCGGACGTGCACATCGGGCAGCTCCATGTCGCGCTCGCCCTGGCGCCGGCGGGAGGCGGAAGAGCTGGCCGAGAGGGGCGAGAGGGGCTCTTCGTAGCTGGAGTTGTCCGAGCAGCGGCTGGAGTCTTCCTGCGCGTGAGCCAGCTGCAGAGACCCGGAGACGGAAATGGGTCCCGAGCCAGGGGGCAGCGATACAGGCGCCTGCAAACACAGAGGAGCACCCCATTTTAGGAGGCTGTGCTATCACCCCATCCGGCCCAGTGCTGCCTCCTCTGGCCGGCAGCTGCTGTCTGGAGGGCTCAGTCACAACATCTGTCCATTTACTGCGCTAACTCCCTGGGCTCCTCAATTTCCTTGGAGCCACTGCCCCCTTTGGTTCCACAAGCTCACAGAGTAGCAGTATGCACAGCTTATGAGAGGAAGGTAACCACACAATAAAATACAGAACAGGAACGATTCGTTGTGCGTTTATTCAGAACCCAACGGGAATTATTTACTTAATTCAACAAAACTGAGAAACCTTTTGAAATTAAACTACCAAAATGCGAATGCAGTAATAATATTAACGAACATCAGCAACATTAGATGAAGAAAAAAAGGAGAGGAACCATCGGCTAACTCAGCTCTAGCAATATTGTCTCCCTTTTATAATCTTTTTTTGCAGACTGTATGGAAAGAGCTTCTTCGTTTGTCATGAGACAGCTCAGAAGAAACTGAACTGGGCATTCCTGTTCCCACACATCAGCAAGGAAATCTTTCCCTTGGATCTCTGCATAAATTATGGGCAGATTAACATGCAGCGAATAATACCTTTCCCCTGAAGTTGACTCTTGAGGTCTTTCAACTATACAAATTTAGTTAAGAAATTATCATTATAACTGAACCTGGCACTGCCTGAAAGCAAATGTCCACTCTGCAGCCGAGAACTCTTCTTCCAAGCATGTGTAGCAACCAATTTATTATCGTGTTCCAGGGGAGACACAGTGTGGTGTAGTGGTTACGGTGCAGGACTAGGACCTGGGAAAGAACTGGGTTTAAGTCCCCTACTCATTGGTCATGAAGCTCATTGGGCCAGTCACTGCCTCTTGGCCTCACCTCTTAGCCAGTCACTTGCTGTGAGGATAACATGGGGGGAAAGTGGCCCATGAGACCTGGGTTCAAATCCCCACTTGGTCATGGATAAAGCTTCCTGGGTGTGGCCTTGGGCACTTAGCCACTGCCTTCTCTCAGCCTAACCTACTTCACAGGGTTTTGAGGAGGGGATTAAATGTGACAGTTCCTCCACGCAGGACCCCAATTTGGGCCCATTTTAGAGGTTGGAAACTGAGGACTCTGGGGAAGAAGAAGAAAGATAAAACTATGCACTATACTCCTCTTGGGCCTGTGGCAGTTGCACTGGAGGGAGACACAAAGAGATACCCAATGCTCCCAAGTTTCTCCTCCGCTGTGCAAAA